AATGGGAGATTGTTCTCAGTTTTCGGCATCTGCTGGCCCTCGCGGGCAACGGCGCGGCAGGGCCGATGACGCACCAAACCTACCAGAGAATAGAATGGAGATCGGCCGCGTTCGACCCGATAAAGATGTAAAGGCTCACCGCGAGCGTGAAGGCACGCCTGAAAAAGAAGAACAGGCTAGCGTCGGGACTGAAAACGGAGTCGCCCGAATCGCAGGCATCGGGAAGGCCAGTCAGCTCTTCCCAAAGGCCGCGTCAGCCTGGAAACACGTGGCAAGGTGTCTTTCGTTGGATCTACAGCGAATGCGTAGAATGTTCGTAGATCAATGGGGCATTCCACGCATTTGCCGTAGATTCGACGGGGAAATCAAGTTCGGGTCAGGTCGGGCATGTCGCCCTACAGGGGGGTTTTGGACGAAAAATTAAACGCACCCAAAACATATTCAAAACATATGCAAACACATGCTCAAGAACTGGCTCCCATATAATAATTTTGACTATGTTTGAAGAATATTCCTCCTGTAGTCGACCCCCTACTCGAAAGGTGAGCGGCCGCGGAGAGGAGGGCGAAAAGGGGGGGCGCGCTCAGAGCATACAGCACCTCCCGGCGGTGGACAAACCACCCCTTTAGCACACCACCCTCCAGTGAAACCGGCCCAGGACCGCATCCGACGGACCTGGACCCGCAAGAAAAGACGGCCGCGACGCCCTCCTCGCGAACCGACCACGCCCTCCTCGCGAGCCGACAACGGCAAATTCGCTGGCCACGTGTGATCAGGGCAGGAGGTCTATCAATCAACCTCCGAACCTCCACGCGGCGGCGCAGCCGCCCGAAGGCTCCGGCAGGAGCCGTGCGAGGAGGGCCGCGCGAGCGGGCGCAACGCGCGCGGCCACCGAGGCCCAGGACGGCCGGGCGGCACGCCGTCTCTCGTCCAAGCGCGAGAGCTGCTGCCGCTCCGGCAGCAAGGGCTCCTAAGTTCGCGCTTCGCGCTGCGCGAAGCGCGAAGCGCGAATAACTTCGCGCTCTCGCGCCGCCCTCCCAAAGGGAGAATAGGAGGACGAGGAGGAGGGGGAGAAGGAACGAGGACCGCGAAGCGCGAAGCGCGAATAACTTCGCGCCCTCGAGGGAGCCCTTGGGCAGGAACCCCTGAGCCCAAAAGTGCCCACGCGTGCTGAGGGATGGTGGCGATGGGCACGATGACGGTGATGGCGGCTGCGAGGACCGATGAGGACGAGGCCGAGGGCGGCAGCGGTCAACCAGGGAGTCCAGAGACCGGATCGGGTCGGAATGTGCATCGAATCGGGCCGCACTGGCGCCGCATCAAAATCGCATCGGGTCGGCTGCGCCAGAGCACACAACAACGCCCATGAAAGCACCAGGCCGCATCGCATGACCGGACTATCGGATCGTCTCGAACAGGGCAGGCTGGAATCGATACGTATCGGATAGGATCGGTCGGATCGCAGTGGATCCCCTTGATAGGGGGAGCGGGTGCCTCTGCAGGGTGGGAAACTGGGCGACGCTCACGCTGTCCGCCGCCCCCTGGACCACAAGATCCTGCCAAGCGCTGGCGGGGGGGAGCAGTGGTCGTTGTCGTCGTCGTCTTCTTCGTCGACGTCGTCGTTGTCGTCGTCGTCGTCGCCGTCAGCGTTGTCGTCGTCGTCGTGGCCGTGTTCGCTGTCGTCGTCGTCGTTGACATCGTGGTGCATGTCGTAGCGGTCGCTGTGGTCGTTGTCGAGGTTCTGATCGTCGTCTGCTCGTCATAGTCCTCCTCCTCAGAGGAAGGTCGGAGGATGAGGAGCAGGGAGAAGGTGGAGTCTGGTGGTCAGGACGACGAAGGGCGAGGAGCAGGAAACATGCGAAGAAGAGAGTGAGGGGGCGAAAGGGAAGGAGCGGAAGATGCACCAGGTGACGAGGGGAAGCAGCAGGAAGAGAAGGAAGACAAGGAACAAAACGTGAAGGAGGAAAAGGAGGAATATGACGGGGAGAGTGAGGAGACGGATCAAGATAATGATGGGGTGGAGGAGGTGGACGACGAGCAGTCGGAGGAATAGGGCGGGGATCATCATTGGGAGGGAGAGGGGCACGGGCAGGAATGAGGAGGCGGAACCCCGAGAAGGAGGGATGACAAAGGAAGGGGGGATCAAGGGAGAGAAGGGGGAGGAGCAGCGAGGACGAGGGAGCGGAAGGAGCGAGGCGAAGAAGGAGCGGGGAGGCACATGGCAGGAGGAGGAGGAGGAGGAGGGAGGAGGAGGAGGAGGGGCGATGGAGGACGGGCCTCCTCCTCAGCGTTCACCCGCTGCGGCGGCTGGAACGACATCGCTGCCAGCGGTATCACAGACCGGCCCTGCCGCTTGCTTCAGGTGGCTCTCGCGGGGGGGGGGAGCGGGTCTCTGCGGGTTCGAGCCGAAAGCGGTGCAGGTCTGCGGGAGGAGGGGGGAGGGGGACAGGGAGAAGCTAGTTAGAAGGAAAAGGAATGGTGGAGGAGAGGAGGACGACGACGACGACGACGACAACTACTACTACTACTACTACTACTACTACTACTACTACTACTACTACTACTACTACTACTACTACTACTACTACTACTACTACTACTACTACTACTACTACTACTACTACTACTACTACTACTACTACTACTACTACTACTACTACTACTACTACTGCTGCTACTGATACTACCACCACTTCTACCACTACTGACTACGACTACTACGACTACTACCAACTACTACTACTACTACTACTACTATGACTACGACTGGGACGGCGACTACTATTACTACAACGACGACGACTAAGACAACTACGAATATACCTACTACGAGGACGGAGACTACTGCTTCTACTGCTGCTGCTATTGTGACTACTACGCACGGAGAGCTCCCATTCACCGCCCCGCTCGTGGTACCGCGCTCGGCCGCACGGGTAGGCGCGGGGGGCATCGGGCCCCCGACGGAATTCGCTGCTTTCCGAACAAGGGGGGGGATCAGCCTCTGCCTCCTCTTCCTCCTCCTACACCTCCTCCACATGTTCCTCCTCCTCCTCTTCCCCCTCCTCGTCCTCCTTTTCCTCCTCCTCCTCCTACTCCTTCTCTTCCTCCTCCTCCTCCTCCTCCTCGGGCCAGCGGCAAGAGGATCGACTCTGTGGTTCTGGACATCAATGGCGGCGGCTCCTTCAATGCCACCATAGCTGGTCCCGATCCTGCGGCTGGGGCACACGGTTTGGGCCGAGGTCAACACCACCACATCGGGGACGCCCTCGACGACGGCGACACACACAACGCCAGCTACGCAGCGGATGCCAAGGTCGGGGTGGTCAAGGGCATCGACGGGGTCGGCGGCACCACTGTTCTCGGGACCGTGGAAGCAGGTGACGCCGACGCATGTCGGCGAGGGCGAGATGGTGGACCCGATCCGCAAGCCTTGGGTGCAACCATCGGTGGTGCCGCGCAACGTGGAGGACAAGACGACCATCGCGGAGAAGCCGACCAAGCAGGACATGGAGGTGAAGGAGCACGCGAGTCCTCCCTCGGGCTGGCTGGGAGCCAGGCGGAAGCTCCTGGACAACAGGATGGAGTACCCTGCGGCGGTGGTGCAGCTCAAACGGTGGAGAAAACGAGACGACCGTGCATGCGGTACTGGAGGTGAGCTGCAAGGGTTCGGTGCGCAAGTGCTGGACGGACCTCAGCGACAAGGAAGACTACATGGATGCGGTGGAGGCTGAGCCCGGGCAGCAGTTCACCGTGGCGGGCAAGAAGAAGGCGAAAAATGGTAAGATGAACAAGAAGAAGGAGGCGGCGCTGGATGAGAGCAGCCAGATCGGCCTTTCAGAGGGAACCATACAGGCTCGGGAGGAGCTGATCCGCGTGCCAAGGGGGTGGTACCTCCCGAAAGCACCCGCCAGGGACGGAACCCGACTCTGCCCAGCTGTGGTTGTAGCTGGTGCTGCATCCCCAGCAAGCGGGGTCGGGGGCCGTCTCTGGCGCGCGCACCTCTTCGGAGGTAATTAGCCTGGTGGCAAGTCGGGGTGGTACGCCTCCCTTTCGCTGGATGCGATACGCTGCTGCGTAAGCCCCCTAAGTTCCTAAGTCCCTCCTCCTCCTCTTCCTCCTCCTCCTCCTCCTCCGTGCAGAACATCTCCCGGTACGGTGCACCGCGACGGAGGTGCCGAGCGCAACGACGACCTGAACAACGTTCAGCCGGCCAGCTCAGCGGCCAGGGCGGCGCGCTCGCGAGGCCGGGCCGCCTCCGCCCCAGAGCGTCGTGCGCAGCTGGCGCGCAGTGGCGGCGCGCAGCGCCACCGAGAGCGCCGCGGCCCAGCGGCGCGCGAGGGTGCTGGCCGTAGCATCGGAGAAGCCAGGTCTTCCTTCTACTCCTCCTCCTCCTCCTCCTCCTCCTCCTTCTCCTCCTCCTCCTCCTCCTCCTTTCTCCTCCTCCTCCCCTCCTCTCCTCCTCCTCCTCCTCATCCTCCTTTCCTCCTCCTCCTCCTCCTCGTCCGCCTCCTCCTTCTCCTCGTCCACATCCTCCTCCTCCTCCTCCTCCTCCTCCTCCTCTCCTCCTCCTCCTCCTCCTCCTCCTCCTCCTCCTCTCTTCCTCCTCCTCCTCCTCCTCGTCCTCGTCCCCGTCCTCGTTCTCGACATCGTCATCCGTCTCATCCTCCTCCTCCTCCTCTCTCTTCATCCTCCTCCAACTCCTCCTCTCCTCCTTCCTCTTCCTCTTCCTCTTCCTCTTCCTCCTGGTCCTCCTGCTCCTCCTCCTCTTCCTCCTCCTCCTCCTGCTCGTCCTCCTCCCCCTCTCCTCCTCCTCCTCCTCCTCCTCCTCAACCTCCTCCTCCTCCTCCTCCTCCCCCTCCTCCTCCTCCTCCTCCTCCTCCTCCTCCCCTCCTCCCTCCTCCTCCTCCTCCTCCTCCACCTCCTCCTCCTCCTCCTCCTCCTCCTCCTCCTCCTGCTCCTCCTCCTCCTCCTCGTCCTCCTCCTCCTCAGCACAGAGGTTCCTGCGTCTCGGCGTCGGACGCGTGGCCCGAGGAGGCGTCCGAGAGGCCGGTGCTCGTCGAGCTGGCCGAGGCGCGCCGGGGCGGCTCGCACGTCGCCTCCAAGCGGCACCCCGCACATGCGCCCCATGATTTTCTCTCGCTGCCCGGGGCCCAGACATGATCGCGTCGAAAAACGATCAGGACGGCGGATGTTTGGCCGTTTTCCGTTTTCGGCCCCTGGGGAGCCCTCGCCGGGCCTCGGGACCGCCACAAAACGACTCAGGACGAAAAAGCAGTCCCGGGGGAAGAGTCGGGACTTCTGGGGACGCCGTCCTGGAAATGTCAGGACGTCGCATGTCTGGGGTCCGGGTAGATGGGGTCGGAGGATCGCGCCACATCGCCGATGCATCGACGATGTATCGGCGATGCATCGGCGATGCATCGGCGACGTCGGTGATGCTTCGGCGACGTCGGCGTGGGGAAACACGGGCTCCACATCGAGCCGCATCGTCGATGCATCGGCGATGCGGCGCGATCCTCCGACCCCATCTACACGGACCCCATCTAGGAGGCCTAGATGTGCGTGGATCTCCATTGTCTTCGATGGTTCGTTCGATTTTCGGAAAACCATCCCCTCCCAGATCATGAAAGACTCACGACATGAGGTTTTGACATAGTTTGGTTCTGGGGGCCCTCGTCGAACCCTGGCACCGTCTCAAAAACGATTCGGGTAGAAAAAACGGCCCCAGGAAATGGGTCGAGACCTCTAGGATCCAACTCGTGGAACATTCGTGACGTCCGGGTGGTCTGGGAACCCTGCTTCCAAAGAGATATCCTGGCGAAGGAGGATCCAACCATATGCACTTGTGAGAGCCGCGTTGTGGGCACCGCTCTCGGTGGAGCTCCCTATGGGGCCACGATCCTCGAGAGGGATGTGGCGAAATGGGCGGGGGGACGCATGCGGACCCTGCCTTCGGTGGAGCTCCCTATGGGAACACGATCCTGGTAAGCGGCGTGCCGAAATGGGCGGGGGGACGCATGCGGACCCTGCCGCTGGGGCCTTCGGTGGAGCTCCCTATGGGGCCACGATCCTCGTGAGGGACGTGCCGAAATGGGCGGGGGGGACGCATGCAGACACTGTTGCTGGGGCCTTCGGTGTAGCTCCCTGTGGGTCCACGATCCTCGTGAGGGGCGTGCTGAAATGGCCGGGGGGGCGCATGCGGACCCTGCCGCTGGAGCCTTCGGTGGAGCTCCCTATGGGGCCACGATCTTCGTGAGGGGTGTGCCGAAATGGGCGGGGGGACGCATGCGGACCCTGCCGCTGGGGCCTTCGGTGGAGCTCCCTATGGGGCCACGATCCTCGTGAGGGGTGTCCCCCGTTGGCGCCCTCTCATCACGAACGCCCCATCTGGGGCGTCCCAGAAGGGGGCAACCACGAGGGGCGTTCGCAACTCATGGCCCGAGGCATGTGCGCAGGCGAGGCGGGGTCAAGGGGCGCATCGAAAGAAGACAGGAGGCTATGAAATCTGGGGAGGCACACACACACACACACACCCATTCACAGCCCCCTCTGGGCCGCTCCTGACCCGAATATTCGGTGTAAGACGAGTCCGGGGCGAGGATACAATCGGAATCTCTGAAAACCAGCGGCTCTGGAAGATGTTTCGGGCGCCGCGGCCTTCTCAGAGCGTTCCGGAACGCTCTGGCATGGATTTATTCTCGTCCTAGCCCCGTCCCGGCATTCCTATAGGCCTACCACGAAGTGCTCTTAGAACCAACAAATGTTCTAGTCACAAAAACAATGCTCTTAGAACATAAACCTGCTGTGCTAAACAAGACGGTCTCAGGCAGACATGTTCTAAGAACACTTCGTGCAGAGCACAAAGGGTTCTTAGAACATTCTTTGGTAGGCCTATAGGCAAGCTGGGACGCTTCGCCACTGCTTTATGAGCACCGTTTATCCGACCCCCATCCTCAGCGGCGTGGCCCGGGCCCCACTGGCCGATTCACCCCCATAGATCATAGATGGGGATATAGGTCGTTCCCTTCGGGTTTCGAGGGGTGTACCCCCGACTGGGGTGGTAACTTGGTGGGGGTCTCGAAGGGGATGGGGATAGGGATGGGGATCGGTTAAACGATATCGACTTTAGGTCCTGATTTTTCAGCTCGCCGTCTCCAAAGTCCCGACCCTTTCCCAAGAACCTGCTCTTCGACACGAGCAATTTGTGTAGTCCCGAAACGGTGCGGCGACAGACCGTGCGGTGACAGACCGTGCGGTGACCTCATCCGTCACCGCACGGCCTTGGGACCCCGGAGGCCCCTGTCGCCCGAGACATCCTCGGAGAACGACCCGAGTCCCCGAACCGTGCGGTGACCCCGAATCCCCACCGACTCACCGCACGGTGTGGTTACCTCCCCGTTTGGGGACCCCTCCGACACTTGTCAGACGGCCCCAACCGCAACTCTCCCGTCCTGCTCTTCTCACAGCGCGTTTGCATGCCAAAGGGCCAGGCCCGCTCCGCCCACTCGGGGATCTGCCGACCCGGGCCCATCCAGACCCGGGCCAGCCAGGCTTTGCAGGATCCTGCAACATCCTGCGGGATCCTGCGCCAGACATGATCGCGTCGTTGAAAATCAGCACGGCGGGTTTTGGGCCGTGTTCGCCCTCGGGGGACCCCAGCCGGGCCTCGGGACCGTCGAACAACGACTCGGGATGAAAAGCCGGCCCCGGGGAAGGGGTCTGGACTTCCAGGGACGCCGTCCTGAAAAAATCAGGACGTCGCATGTCTGGGGCAAGATCCCGCGCCCTGGCCCGGTTCACATTGCACCCCTGTCTCTTCAGGAGCCTGCAAGATCCGGCGCTCTGACTGACCCTCGTTTGCATTCACCCCCGTCTCGTCTCTCTCCCCAGACATGCGACGTCCTGATTGTTGCAGGACGGCGTCCCTAAAAGTCCCGACCCTTTTCCCAGGTCCGTCTTTTCGTCCCGAGTCGTCCTTTGACGGTCCCGAGGCCCGGCGAGGGCTCCCCGGGGCCGCCACCAACCCGCCATCCTGATATCTCTACGTCGCCATCCTGTCTGGGACTGACCCTCGTGTGCAATCACCCCCGCCTCTTGCCCAGACCCCCGACGTCATGATTTTTTCCATGACGCGACCCCCAGAGGTCGGACCCATTCCCCGGGACCGGATTTTCATCCTGAGTCGTTTTTCGACGGGCCTGAGGGCCAGTACGGGCTCCCGGAGGCCGAAAATAAAGAAAAACCTGACGTCGTCTTTTTTTTTATGACTCGAGGGGGTCTGGGTGAGCCCCGACCCGCCCCGTCGCCGGAGCGTCTGGGAGGAAGTCGAAGAGCGCGCCGCCCCACCGGCGCCCGGGCGCCCTGCAACCGGTCGCGGCGCCGTCCCGCCAGGCGTCGGCGGGCGGCCCGCCACCCGGCCAGCCGGGCTCCCACGGCAGCCGCGGGGGCGGGGCCTGCCACTGGGCCTGCTGCTGCTGCTGCTGCGTGTGCTGCCAGAGCTCGTCCTGAGGCCGGCGGCCGGCACGCCCACGGGCAGGCAGGCGGCGGCGTGCAGCCCAGACCCCCTCGAGTCATGAAAAAATCACGACGCGAGGCTTTTCGCTATTTTCGGCCTCTGGGGACCCTTACCGGCCCTCAGGCCCGTCAAAAAACCACTCAGGATGACAAGCCGGTCCCGGGGAATGGGTCCGGACCCCTGGGGGTCGCGTCATGAAAAAATCGTGACGTCGGGGGTCTGGGAGGAGGCCCACGGTTCGCCCTGCGAGCCCGTTCGGAGCCCGAGCCCGTTCGGCCGCCGAAGGAGCTCGATCGCGAGTCCACTCGGCGGCCGAATGGGCTCAGACGCCAAACGGGCTCGCAGGGGAACCCGCTGGGGGCGGGGAGATTTGACGCGAACAAGGCGGTTCAGACCGACGGCGGCGATCGAGACGGAAGCTGCGCAGCATCCGCGTGGACTATCGGCAAGTTGGGTATCAAAGCGGGAACGTGGACGCCGCGAGTGGCAGCAGGGATTTCAATGGCACGCTAATTATGTTCAGATCTCGGAGCGGAGGCCATCGCCCTAAACACGGCTTCGCGAGAAGTCCATCCCCCTGCAACATCTTGTAATTGTGAGAATAGCTGAAATGTTTTTTTTTGGCTGCCGAACAGAACCGAGCAAGGAGGAGTCTAGCGGCATTCAAAGGTCTTGAGACCGCTGCGGGGGTCTCGAGGCGGTCTTGCTTAGGGCGCATCCCCAGCTCATCCAGGACTTGCCTTAGGTCGGGCATGTCCTCCTACAGGTGGGTTTTGGACGAAAATTAACAAGTAGTCAAACATACAAACAATCGTCCCCAAACTATTGATTTACTATTCTGAATATTCCCCCCGTAGAGGGACAGGCCCGACTTAAGACTTGCCTGGTGGTGGGTGGGGGTGAAGCGCCCCGTGGAGCCCGACACCAAAACCAGGCCCGAGAGAGGCCAAACAATACCAAAACCTGAAGGGGCCTGCGGTGACGGGAGGGTGGGACAGGGAACAGAGAAGGATAAAACGCCATAAACATGAACTCTTAGCGCTCCGAGCGGATTTCTCGAATCTGCGCTGGATCCCCCCTCCCCGCGGAGCGCGCCAGGGGCGGCGACGGAGGCACCGCCGGGGGGACCAGAGCGCGGATCCAAGAACTCCGCGCAGAGCACCACAAGCTTATATTTCTGGCGGTTCTTGTTATCCTCGAGGGAACGGGAATGGCAGAGGGAGCGCCAGGCGGAGATTTTTCAACACGTCCACCGCCTGGGGGAGCCGATGCCATGGGACCGCAGCATCAGGTCGGGCCTGTCCCCAGGCGGATTTGGTGCGAAAAATTGAAAAGCACGCAGAAAAAGCTCCAAAAATGCTAAAAAATAGTCAAACATCGTTTCAAGACCATTCTTTGTCTATGTTTGAATACTCCTCCTGTAGAAAGAGGCACGCCCGACTGAACCCCAGGGGGCGATAGACGTGGGGGAGGCCAGCGTCTGGGTCGGCACCCGCGCCCGCAGCACCAGAGACACCGAGGGAATTGGGGTGGACCCCCAGACCTAGGGGGCCACATGCGAACCCTACCCCTACCCCCCACGATTTCTGATGGGGAGGGTGGGGTTCACTTGGCTCGGGAGCTCCCGAGCGAAGTGAACCCCCCCCCCCCTCAGAAATCGTGGGGGATAGGGGTAGGGTTCGCATGTGGCCCCCTACCCAGACCTACGACGTCGCGGTCTCTGTCGCAGCGTGGCCCCCAGGAGGTCTGGGCACGTTGCCGGGCACTGGCCTTCCGTCCCGCGAGCCACTCTTTGACAGCCCCAGGGCCAGGCGAGGGACACCCAAAGATACGACAGCCTCGCGCCGCGAACTTCGCACAACGGGAGGACGCCTGAGTCGGGCGCTGCGAAGGAACAGTTGACGAGGGGTGTAAAGAAGGGTGCACCTTTCGGGCGCCCTCGAGGCCCCAGTGGCCACTGCAGGGCCCCTTCCTTGCAACCTTCGATCCCCCACATTTTCCTGAATTAACAACATCGCGAAAATGACGACCGGAGCCCCCAGACATGTTTCTGCTGCCCTTTTCTAGCCCGATCGATCTGTGTGGGCCCTGAGGCTCGACACATGCCAGAACCCACCGTTGTTGAAGGGGCCCTGGGACACACGAATGAAGAGACAGCAAGCCATTGGATCCCGGATTTATCTCCCATTTTTCCTGGGTGTTCGTCTTCCCCCCCACACTTCCCATATTCCCCTATGTTGCCTGGGGAATCGACGATTACGTTGTGTCTGTGTGCTTCCTTCCTCCTGAATTGTGGCGAATTTGCCACTCCCGGCTCCGAGGGCCGCCGCCCCCGTATTGCAACCACGCCCGACGGAGGTGGCCACGGGGCTCTCGTCTGACCCCGCGCGGAGCCCGAGCACTCTCGGCCGCCGCACGGGCTCACGACCGAGCCGAGTCGACGGCCGAACGGGCTCCATCCCCTCGAATCTGCCATAGAGCTGAGCCCTCCGTGGCTCAAAGATGGGATCCTCAGGGGTGGGGCCCTAATTGTAAGGACGAAGTGCCCAACACAATGCAAATCAACCCATGGATCCCTTCATATCCTTAGGACCTGGTCCCTCAGGACCCCATCCCAGACATGCGACGTCCTGACTTTTTCAATACGGGTCCCCTGGAAGTTCCGATCCCTGGTACCAGCTTTTCGTCCCGAGTCGTTTTTTGACGGTCCCGAGGCCCGGCGAAGGCCTCCCGAGGCCGAAAACGGCCGAAAACCCGCCGTCCTGATCTTTTTATACGACGCGATCCTGTCTGGGATCTTTGAACTACCGAAGCCCGTTCTGATGCACCTTCGGCGGCCGCGCGGGCTCAGACCCAGACATCGGGCATCTCGAAGCAAATCGAGACGAAGGTTTTTCGCAATTTTTGGCCTCTCAGGGCCGCCGCTGGGCCTCGGCACCGTCAAAAAACACATCGGGATGAAACATCGTTCCCGGGGAAGTGGTCGGGAGGTCGGGGGCCCGCGTCTCGAAACAATCGAGACGTCGGATGTCTTGAGCGGGGACCGACCGTGCCGGCATTCCCATAGTCCTACCACGGAAGGTTCTTAGAACCCAGAAATATGTTCTTAGATCAAAACAATGCTCTTAGAACATAAGCCCGATGTGTTAAAACAAGACCGTCCCAGCCAAACATGCTCTAAGAACACTTCGTGGAAACCACGACAGGCTCTTAGAACATTGTTTGGCAGGGCTATAAGCGAGCCGGGACGCTTCGCTCGGGTCGCAAAGGGGGGGTTGAGAATCAGCTCACGTAGCTGATTTTCTGGGCGCCTCCCGGCGCCGGAGGCGGCCATGTATCGAGGAATGGGCCCCTCGGTGAGGCCGAAACCAGCTGCATGCAGCACATTTCGTAACCCCCCCTTTCCCAATCCGCCCTTTTCGCCCGGCCCGATTCGCCGATTCTTAGAACATAAACCCGATGTGATAAAACAGGACGGTCCCAGACAGAACTGTTCTGAGAACATCTCCTGGAAACCGCGAAAGTTTCTTAGAACATTGCCTGGCAGGCCTATAAGCGAGCCGGGACGCTTCGCCACTGCTTGAACGTCTGTGGGGACGCCAGGTCGGCTCCGAGGGGACCCGCGGGGCGGAGGCCACCGACCGGCCCGGCCCGGCCCGGCCGGCCTGCCACTGGGCAAGCTGCTGCTGCTGCTCGTGCTGCCAGAGCTCGTCCTGGCCGGCGGGCCGGCACGCCCAGGGGCAGGCGGGGCAGCGGCGCGCAGGAGGCCCGAGGTTCGCTGCGCCAGCCCGTTCGGAGGTGATGGGCCTGTCTTCCACCAGCACCACCATCAGTTAGCAGGAGGGCGAGGAGGAGGAGGGAGAGGAGGAGGAGGACGAGAAGGAGAAGGAGGAGGAGGACCCCACCCCCTCCAACTTAGGGTGGTGGTGGTGGTGGAAAACACGCCCATCAGGAGTCTGAGCCCGTTCGGCCGCCGAAGGGGCAGCCGAACAGGCTCAGCGCCGACCAGGTCGAGGGCTCGGCGGGAGAGTGGGCTCAGACAACGAACGGGCTCAGGAGGGAGCCCTGGGGCCTGCGGCAGGCGGGCGAGGGCGGAAGGCGGACCAGCGGGACAACTGGCGCGTGCTGGAGAACAGGGCTGAACCGAAACGACGCTTTTCGTTATCGTTTCGTGCTCGTTTTCCCTCGTTATGTCCTCGATCCGCCTTCAACGCAAAAAACGACATCGAAACGAAAACGGCCCACTACATCGCCAAAACACCGTTTGGGTCCACCCCCATGCTGGAGAAATGTGATAACCAAGGCGTGCTCGCATCGTGGCAACAACCAGGACGGGAAATGTTTGGCCATTTTGGGCCTCGGGTTACCCTCACTGGGCCGGCACGGGCTGGTTTCGCCCGGCTGGTTTCGCCGGGGCTGGTTTCGCCGGGGCTGATTTCGCCGGGGCTGGTTTCGCCCGACGCTGGTTTCGCAAGCGCTGGTTTCGCCCGACGCTGGTTTGGCCAGCGCTGGTTTCGCCCCGCAAGTTTCGCCCCGCAAGTTGGGCCCCGGGACCGTCAAAGAACAACTCGGGATGGAAAAACGGGTCCCACGGGAAGGATCGGGACTTCCCGAGATCCCGTAATGAACAGATCAGGACATCGCATGTCTGGGAACTACAGATAGCTGCGTGCAGGATGACGACAGGTGGTTGGCAAAGCGTTTTGTCATGCCACTTTTGATTGTAAAGTGGGTCCGCGCACGCAGGGCAACGCGATGGCACCCCGTGGCGCTCTCTGTCCAAAACAGTAGCTAGCGGACTGATGCTCAAGTGGCGCTGACGTTGGTAGCATGCCTGGTGCGTGCGCAGTTCTTGCTGCCAGGAAACACGAAGCGTTGGGCAGCAACACCGGGGCGCGGAACAGCGAATTGCACACACAACCTGTAGGAAAAGGTGGAAAGATGAGAGCGGCCGCGGAGGAGTGGTGCGAGCACACACGTTCATCTTCAATGCCTCTGGCAGTGATGGCTGGTCGGAGCACGCCGAGGTTGGTCCGAGCGCGCCAAGCAAACTCACGGCACCCCCGTGGCACACGTCAGAGACAGTGACAAATGATGGGGGGGCTGCCTCTCGCTTGATCTATCCCTCCTCGTTCGCTCCCTCCTTCCCCAAACGTCTCAGAGATGCGACAAGAAGGAAGATCTCTCAGACAATGAGCAAGCAAATGCAAATGTACACCGTTGACCCCCTCAAGAAAAATTCGACACATCAAGCAGAAGTAAGAAAAAGTGTCCGAGAACGAGCCCCTCTGGTTTCAGCCATCAAGCAAACATTAGCGATTATTTGAAAACGAATACCCCCTCACATCCCGCCAACTCTGGAGATCTCTGGGGGCCCGCGCAAATGCTCCAGAAAGTCCTCGAGAGGCCTCCAAAGGCCCCCCCAAGAGCCCGACAACAAGCAACATTACCCCAAACACCTGCATCCACGATCGCCGGTCCCTCTTCCCGCCTCATGCCGCTGCACCTCCTCCTGCTCCTCCTCATCCTCCTTCGAAAGCACCATTCTCGTCATCACCACCGCCACCGCCACCGCCACCGTCATCATCATCACCATCATCAACAACAACATCATCATCAGCACCACCACCACAATCACCGTCACCATCATCACTATCAGCATACCATCCCCAGCACCGCCATCAGAGGGAGCGGAAGTACCCATACCGCTGCCGACCATAACCTCAAAGATCACCCAGCCGTCGCGACGGTGGCCCTGCAGGACGAGCGGCGGTATCGGTATCTTCCCCCCTTCTCCTCCGAGCATCGCCTTCTCCCGTGGACTTCGGACAGCAACTCGGACCTCCGGCGCACGCTCGGGACGATCCGAGCACGGGCACCCCTGGAATGCTCGCGGCGAGGCGCAGCTGTTGGAAAGCATCCCGGAGCTGCAGTGCTGCCGAGGGCCGACGAGAGCATCCGAAAACTGCGAACCTCGAATCTCGAGCGTCTGCGCGCATCGCGGCGGGGGCGGCGCTGGAGGCGCCGCCAGGGGGGCCCGGCACCGATCCAGGAAATCCGCGCGGAGCTCCGAAAGGCATCTGGTTACGACGACCTTGCTGCTTCGAATCTTCTCCTCCCCTCCCCTGACCACAACGACCCCCGCCATCCTGAGTATCGTGGAACCGATCCCTGTCCCCACTCGCTTGGCCTGGGCCCCACTGGCCGGTTTACCCCCCCTAGATGGGGATATGGGCAGTCTCTGTCAGCTTTCGCAGGGTTTGTCCCCAACTGGGGGATGAGATGGTGGGGGTCTGGACGGGGATGGGGATGGGGATGGGGATGGGGATGGGGATCGTTTAAACGGTAGTGACATCCTGCCCCCGCCCTCCCGAGGAGGGCCTCCAACCGAGCCCCTCCCGAGGAGGGCCTCTCCCGGCCTCTCGCCCCCCCCCCCCCCTCCCCGAGGACGGCCTCCCGAGGAGGGCCTCCCACCATCGGCATCCCCCGCTCGGCCGCCCGAGGCGGGCCTCCCGCGGAGGGCCTCCCGAGGAGGGCCTCCCGCGAAGGGCCCCCCCAAGGAGGGGCACCCCGAGGAGCGGCCTCCCGTGGAGGGCCCTCCTCGGGAGGGCCACCCGTGGAGGGCCCTCCTCGGGAGGGCCACCCGGGGAGGGCCTCCCTGAAGGGGCCCTGAGACACACAAACAAATACACACACATAAAAAAAAATCCCCACAGTTTCCCATATGTTCTCGGTTTTTGTCTTCCCCCCACTTTCCATATTTTTCAATATTTTCTTGGGGATCGACGATGAATTGTGTCTGTGAATCCCGCCCTCTCGGTTGCTCCATTCTCCGCCTCTGCTTGGTCCTTTCCTGGGCCCGTCGGGCCAGGAGACGAGGCGCTCGGCCCTCTTCGGGCAGGTCGCGCCTGACGTGGCGACGAACTTGCAACATGGTAAAACACACAACGCCCCGAGCCCGCGACCCCATCGCCTTCTCGAGCCGCATCGGCCTGCGAGGGCCCCGTGGCCCGAAGCGGGGCCAACAAAACGCCCGGCCCGGACGGATGGAGCTGCCAGGGACTCCAGGCCCAGACCCCCTCGAGTCCTGAGAAAATCACGACGCGAGGTTTTTCGCTATGTTCGGCCTCTGGGGACCCTCACCGGCCCTCAGGACCGTCAAAAAACGGCTCAGGATGAAAAGCCGGTCCCGGGGAATGGGTCCGGACCTCTGGGGGTCGCGTCATGAAAAAAGCATGACGTCGGGGGTCTGGGGGGTCAGGTCGGGCCTGTCCCCCTACAGGGGAATTTTGGGCTAAAAAAATTACCCCGAAGATGCTCGAACAGTGATCAAAGATGATTGTTTTAAAATCGTCCCCAGACGATGTCTTCACTATTTTTGGATGTCCCTCCTGTAGAGGGACAGGCCCGAGGTAACCCCAGGGAGGGATGCGCAGGAATCGGTGGAGGCCGTGGTCCGGGCGCCTCCGCCCCCCGTGGCCTCCCGACGAAGGTGATGGGCCTGCTTTCCACCACCACCGCGATAAGTTGGAAGGGGGAAGGAGGTGGAGGACGAGGAGGAGGACGAAGAGGACGAAGAGGAGGAGGAGGAGGAGGAGGACGAAGAGGAGGAGGACGAAGAGGTGGAGGAGGAGGAGGAGGAGGAGGAGGAGGAGGAGGAGGAGGAGGAGGACCCCCCTACCCCTCCAACTGATGGTGGTGGTGGTGGTGGTGGTGGTGGAAAACAAGCCTCCCGACGAAGGGCCTCCCGCCGCCAGCGGACCGGCGTCTCCTGGCCGCCCCAGGGCGCGCCCGTGCCGGGGCCAAAGCCGCTGGGGCCGCGGAGCGCGGCCGGGCCCAGCTCGCAGAGGCGTCCTGGCCCAGGCGGCGGTGCAGAGAGAGGATGATGATGATGATGATGATGATGATGATGATGATGATGATGATGATGATGATGATGATGATGATGACGATGATGATGATGATGATGATGATGATGATGATGATGATGATGATGATGATGATGATGATGATGATGATGATGATGATGATGATGATGATGATGATGATGATGATGATGATGACGATGAGGAGGAGGAGGAGGAAAATGAGGAGGAGGAGGAAAGGAGGAGAGGAGGAGAGAGGAGGAGGAAGGAGGAGGAGGAGAGGAGGAGGAAGAGGAGGAGGAGGAGGAGGAAGGAGGAGGAGGAGGAGGAGGAGGAGGAGGAGGAGGAGAGCGAGAGAGAGAGAGAGAGTCCATGCCTCTCAGGTTCGAGTAGGGCATCGACTGCAAAATTGATGCACCCCATAAATTACACTTCTCGCCGAGTCTGCGCAGCATGCTGCTACGTCTCAGTAGACGTGCGCAGAGTCTGCGCAGGTTTTGGGTAAATCAATTCTTCTGTAGTCGATCCGCTGCTCGACAAATGCCAAAGCTAGAGGCCTCCTAGATGGTGTCGGAATAGATGGGGTCGGAGGATCGCGCCGTACCGCCGCGATACATCGGCGATGCATCGGCGATGCATCGGCGATGCACCGGCGATGCATCGTCGACGTCAACGATGCATCGGCGACGTAGACGTGAAGCAAACCGGGTTGCACATCGAGCCGCATCGGCGATGCATCGGCGATGCGGCGCGATCCTCCGACCCCATCTACTCCGACCCCACCTAGGAGGCCTAGAAAAGCGCCCCGTCGGACGAGAAGTGGGGAATCGGGGGGACGGGGTGGTAACTACTCCGAGGAGGAACCGATCGACCGATAGCGCTGTGCCCGCCCCTCGGCGCCACGGCTGGAGTATCGTCTCGGAGTCCTTGTTGGGACCCAACCCGGGAGGGAAGCCCGGGGAGTTGCGGTATGGGCATCTTTTGTTAGGCCTCCAAAGTGGGGTCGGAGTAGATGGGGTCGGAAGACCGTGCCGCATCGCCGATGCATCGGCGATGCGGTCCGACGTGGAGCCCGATCTTCTCAACGCCGATGGTGCCGATCACTCGCCGACATCGCAAATGCATTGCCGATGCATCGGCGATGCGTCGGCGATGCGTCGAGATCATCCGACCCCGTCTACTCGGACCCAACTTGAAGGCCTAGAGTGAGAGGGAGAGAGAGAGAGAGAAAGAGAGACAGAAAGAGAGAGGGAGACGAAGAGAGAGAGGAGAGAGAGGCAGGTCTGAGCTACGGTTGGCGTTGCAAATATAGCGTGCAACGCCGATGTCCGAAGAGCTCGCGAGAGAGAGAGAGAGAGAGGCCACTCGGGGGCGTGCAAGAGGGGTGTCCAAGAGGGGCGGGCGCAAGGGCAAGGTGGGGGCAAGAGAAAGGGGGAGAGAGAGAGAGAGAGAGATAGAGAGAGAGAGAGAGAAAGAGCGACACATATCCTCCTCCTCCTCCTCCTCCTCCTCCTCCTCCTCGAGGAGAAACAAGAGAGAGAGAGAGAGAGAGAGAGAACAAAAACAAACGAGAGACCACTTGGGGGCGCCCCAGAGGGGGGCGTCCAAGAGGTGGGTTCGCACATCATGGCACGATGCGCATGCGTGGCCCAGAGAAGAGGCCGAGGGACGTGCTGGCCGAGGAACGTGCTGGAAGAGAGAGAGGGAGAGAAAGAGAGAGAGAGAGAGAGGGAGAGAGAGAGGGAGAGAAAAAGAGAGAGAGAGAGAGGGGGAGGGAGAGAGAGAGGAAGAGAAAGAGAGAGAGAGAGAGAGGGAGAGACAAAGAGCGAGAGAGAGAGAGAGAGAGAGAATGGGAGGGGGGGGCGGGCACGCGCACGAGGCGGGGCCAGCCCAAACGTCCTCGCGTCCGAGAGTGGAGGGCTCCTTTTTCGGGGGGGGCGAACGGGTAGGACAGTAGAGCGTAGGATCGATAATCGGCTCGCGTGCGAGGGTGGAGGGCTCCTTTTTCGGGGGGGGGGGGGGAGCCAGTAAAGCGTAGGACCGATCATCAGCTCACGCAGCTGGTTTGCCTGGCGCCTCCTGGCGCCGGGAGGCGCCCCTGCATCGAAGAATGGGCCCAGCGGCGAGGCCGAAACCAGCTGCACGCAGCAGATGTCATAGCCCCCCTTTCCCTATCCCCCCCGTTCGTTGGGCCCGATTGTTGAAGGCCTCCTGCTCTTCGGATGGGGTCATGGTTTTCTGACGTCTTCGCTGGCCCCTGAATCAAACAGCAAACGCCGGCATAAACCCAAACTGCGGATGGTCCGCGCGGATTTTTCCCCCACATGCTTCGTGGGTTCTGGTGTTCTTCCCTGCCGCGTCGCACCCGCGTCTCACCTCACACCTCCCCTCCTCCTCACAGCAGGGTCGGAGAGCGTGGCGGGCGCGGCACTTTCTCGACACCAGAGGCGGGTGCGCAGGGGTGGTCTCTCACCGCGGCCCCTATGCGTGCCAGGGTCGGAGAGCGTGGCAGGCGTGGCACTTTCTCGACACCAGAGGGGGTGCGTAGGGGGTGGTCTCTCACCGCGGCCCCTATGCGTGCCAGGGTCGGAGAGCGTGACAGGCGTGGCACTTTCTCGACACCAGAGAGGGTGCGCAGGGGGTGGTCTCTCACCGCGGCGTCTATGCGTGCCAGGGTCGGAGAGCGTGGCAGGCGTGGCACTTTCTCGACACCAGGGGGGGTGCGCAGGGGGTGGTCTCTCACCGCGGCCCCTATGCGTGCCAGGGTCGGAGAGCGTGACAGGCGTGGCACTTCCTCGACACCAGAGGCGGGTGCGCACGGGGGTGGTGTCTCACCGCGGCCCTTATGCGTGCCAGGGTCGGAGAGCGTGGCAGGCGTGGCATTTTCTCGACACCAGAGGGGGTGCGCAAGGGGTGGTCTCTCACCGCGGCGTCTATGCGTGCCGGGGTCGGAGAGCGTGGCAGGCGTGGCACGTTCTGACACCAGAGGGGTGCGCAGGGGGTGGTCTCTCACCGCGGCGTCTATGCGTGCCAGGGTCGGAGAGCGTGGCGGGCGCGGCATTTTCTCGACACCAGAGAGGGTGCGCAGGGGTGGTCTCTCACCGCGGCGTCTACGCGTGCCAGGGTCGGAGAGCGTGGCGGGCGCGGCACTTTCTCGACACCAGAGGCGGGTGCGTAGGGGGTGGTCTCACACCGCGGCCCCTATGCGTGCCAGGGTCGGAGAGCGTGGCAGGCGTGGCACTTTCTCGACACCAGAGGGGGTGCGTAGGGGGTGGTCTCTCACCGCGGCCCCTATGCGTGCCAGGGTCGGAGAGCGTGGCAGGCGTGGCACTTCCTCGACACCAGGGGGGGTGCGCAGGGGGTGGTCTCTCACCGCGGCGTCTATGCGTGCCAGGGTCGGAGAGCGTGACAGCATAGCAGGCGTTGACATAATATTTAAATTAAGTATGTGGGGTTCCTCGGTAGCGTAATCGGATCTGAACTGGCCCCCTGGCGCGCGGAGCGCGTCGGGGGCGGCGCCAGAGGCGCCGCCAGGGCGGCGCAGCATAGATCCAACAAACTCCGCGCGGCCCTCGAAGATGCATGTTGGTGCCGTGTCCTTGTTCTCCGAAGGTGGGAAGCGGGCCCCGGACCCTGGTCGGCTGCGGGCCTCTGATGCGCGGCCCCTGACGCGCGGCCGCCGGGGGCGCGATGGGGGCCAATCCCGAGCGATCAGGCCGCTGCTGTCTCATCGCCCCTGGAAGACACATCAACAAATCTACGTTGGTTGCTCATTTCCCCAGCGGCAGCTGCATTCGGAAGGACCGGATGGTATCTATAATTCCTCCCTGAATCACATGGGATGTAAGGCGTTTCGTGAAGACAAATTGATACGAATAGACATGCTTGAAAAACAGATGCGGTTAGATGCGATGTCTAGTTTGCTTAGATACGGGAAGTATGTTCCTTCAACTTTCTAGATACGGGGTCATTTTTTAGATATGAGTAGAACGAATATATATATATATATATATACTAGAACCACGCGCGCGCTTCGCGCGCGCTTAGGTTCTAGCTAGGAGGCGAGCTTGAGTCAACGAAAGTCGCAGGGAAGGGAGCAGGGGGAAAAAGGCCAGAGAGCGCTGAAGGATACAAATGCTGGAACCCTCTTGTGATTTTGTGGGGGGCCTCGTCCGGCCGCTCGCTGGGAGTTTGACGTAGCTTCTCGGGAGCCTCTGAACCTGTCGGGGGCCTCCTGGAAGCAGGTTCGAAGCATTTTGGGGGCCGATTTGGGGCTTCTCGGGGCCTCCTTTGGGCCTCTTGGGGGTCTCCTGGGGCCTCTTGAGGGGCCTCCTTGGGGCCTCCTGGCGGCCTCTTGGGGCGGAAGGCTCGAGCTTGCGGTTCGTGGTCCCCCTCTGGGCCCCCTCTTGGGCCCGTCTTGGGGCCCTCTTGGGCCATCTTGGGCGCCTCTTGGGCCGTCTTGGGGCCCTCTTGGGCTGTCCTGGGGCCCTCTTGGAAGCTTCTTGGGCCGTCTTGGGGCGGTCTTGGAGGCCTCTTGGGCCGTCTTGGACGCGGTGAAAGCCCAAGATGCGAACATGCGACAAATATACATTTTCCCATAGGAATGGCACGATTTTTGTTTCTTGGACCTCTCTTGGGGTGCCTCTCGGAACGTCTTGGGCTGATTTTGGAAGCCTTTTGGCGCCTCTGGGCGGCGTTTTGGCGCCTCCTGGGATATGTTGGGCCGGAAGCTCGGAATTCGAGAGTGGCTTTCTCCTTCTGGGACCCCTCTCGAAGTCGTCTTGGGGTTCTCTTGGGCCGTCTTGAGGCCGTCCTGAGCCACTCGTGCGCAGCCTTGGAGCGCTCCCGGAGGCCTCCTAGGCCGTCTTGGAGGCCTCTTGGGCCGTCTTGGACGCGGTGAAAGCCCAAGATGCGAACATGCGAAAAATATACGTTTTCCCATAGGAATGGCACGATTTTTGTTTCTTGGACCTCTCTTGGGGTGCCTCT